CGAGCTCAGAACTAGTTAAGGGCTCAATACTGTACAATGCCAAGAAAATGTACAATCATTTGCCTTCGAATATCAAGTCACTTTCATTCTTTCCCGCATTTCGCAAAGCTCTGAAATCATACTTACTGGAGAAAGCCCTATATGCGGTAAACGACTTTTTTGTTGATGTTTAATCATGAACAATTTTGAATTTTATTAGTATTTAGTATTTAATATTTAATATTTTATAACTCTTGATTTTATGATATATAACATGATTTTATCCATTTACAGTTTTCCTGTTGTAAAATTTTATTGATACGCCTGTGTTCTGCAATAAAAAAAAAATATAGCCAAAAAAAGTTGAACCAATAATCCTACACGCTTTTCTTCATTTGAAAAACTCTTATTTACAGTTTTTGTTTATTTTAATTCATAAATATTGAATATGACAATTTCATATTTCTGAGAGCAACGACGATAGAACTTGTTTCCATGGCTAACTAAGTGAAATTAGTCAAGAAAGATAAGAATTGGCTATAACTCAGTAATTTTGTGAAAGAAACATATTATAGCTTATATCGCTGAAAAGCTTAAAAAATGACGCTGTTTATGAAGTCATGGCCAACTATGGTTTCCATTTAAAAAAACATATGTTTGTGTCATATGTCAAAAATGACAGGCTTTAGAAAAAAACGGAAAACACAATCTCATTAGGGACGTGAATATCTACAACTTTTATCTGAAAACTTTTTGTCTAAAATAGATTATAATGGAATTAGGGACAATTTTTAAAATAGCCAAAATTTGTTTTTTTCGAAATATCTAGTAAGCCATGAACTTTTTCAAAAATCTGAAAGGCGCTTATTTATGACCCGATAAAACTGCAATTCTTTCCCTATTTAACTGACTCTATCTCCAGTAGTTTCCGAGATACCCATAGAGAACATTGTAGGAAACTCACCCTGTATATATTTCATTAGACATAGACATTTAATTCAGTCCATTCCAAGTCCTACATTTTGGCCATTAAGAAGGAAGGAGGTATCCAAAGAATATAGAAAACATCTCAGCTTTGTAATTGAAATGTATTCAAAATTATTATGTAAACAAATAACAACCAGACTCTCAAAAAGATATTCTGTCATTATAAACGTCAAAAAATTTCTAGTATAATTCGCTGTTGGGTGCCCACAAGGAAAAAAAAAATCACTAAAATTTATCCGTTGCTATGGTGATTTGTCAAAAAAAACACGTTTTGATTGGCTAAAAATTACAGTTTGGAATTTTCAATAAAATCAAATAATGAAAAAGGTTTTTTTCCTCTTGTAAAGACAATCCGGGGACATACTGTATACAAGGGCATCTCTATCTTAACCTATTTCTCTGATATCCCCACCCAGGACTTTACTACGTTATTAAAAGCTGCCGTAAACAAATAAATCAGGAACTTTAATTTAAAACGGTTTAAATTAATTAACTGGGATATCGTTTTAAAAACGGGTGTGCTGCGAGATTTTTCGCCCTGATTAGAAATTTAATTAGTTTTTCTTTTGTTAATTTTGATAAGTTGTCGATGTCGAACACAGCCAAGGATTTATTTAATCAAAAATGAAGTATAGGACCATCAAACTACGAAGGTTTTTATTATAAGTCATCATAAATTTGTTTTACATTTATTTTTTCATTTTTTTAATTTGTTTGTTTGTTAACTTAAAAAATAAATACATGTTTTTCAAATATTTTTACAGTACACAAAATGGAAGAAGAATATACAGATCGGACCACCGTAGTAGTAACATAGGCAGAACCGGACGAATTAGCGTATACCCGTCCGCCGGATAAAAAGTAGGCGAAAAAATGCGATAAAATAAAAATAGGTAAATATGTGATAAGAATGTTTTAGAATTTGTATTTATTCGTGTTTTAATAGCCAAAACGAATATATAGATTCTCGCGACAGTTCTCATGTAAAAGTTATTTTTTAAGTAAAATAATGGATGTTTACGAAATTCGTGAGAAAATTCAAATTGTAAAATGGTATTTCCAAAATAGGTCTCTACCGTTTTAGTCAAACCGTTTAATTAGTGGATATGGAACTATTTTGTGGCCCGCTAGATCACCAGATCTTTCTCCCAATGATTTCTTTTTGTGGGGTTATGTAAAATCCAAAGTGTATGGTCATAATAGGGCTAATAATCTGGATAGGCTTCAAGTAAAAATACGAGAGGCTTTGCAAACTATTACCCCTAATATGTTAGCCAATCAGACGGGGATTTTACGACCGCCTAGGCTTCTGTCTAGCACAAGAAGGTGGTCTTTTTGAACACTTTTGTTATAACTTTTTTTTATTTAGAATAATATTTTAGTTTTTTTTTTATTTTATTGATGTATTTGTTAATTTTGGAAATTAGTTTTGGGTTTAGAGAATTTATTTATTTTTAGCTTGTAAACACACTCAAATAATAAATATTTAAATATTTTTATTTTAAATGTTACCTTCAGTTAAGGTAAACAATGAAAATAATAAATACTCGGCACTCGGAGTTTCCAAACATGTGAGGGAGGCTACACCGTAATTGGAAATAGTTGAATAAGCTGAAAATGATGACACAATGCAAATTTGCAAATTTGTGCTTAACAGATCTGTGTGTCGAATGCTCTAATAATTAACGTAAATAAAAATCTACTAAATATACGAGCATCATATACACTAAAATTGTGAAAACGATATACACACAAGTATTTTATAATTATTGATAAAAACATTTTTTTTTACACACAACTATTTTATAATTTATAAAAACACATATTTTTCAAATACTTTCACATTTCACAAATACTGTATTATTGCTTAACACCGCTGTGTCTAATGTTAATGTAAAAAAAAATCAAATAAAATATCTGACTCTCATATACACAAAAATTATGAAAAAAAATATAATTAAAATAAAATAGTACCGTATGATAGAAAAAAAGGGCGTCAACGATGGTTATGTAATGAAGATCGCTGATATTTTATATGTAAAATTATACGGGAAATATCATCGATCGTCATTTCAATGGAGGAAATATTAAAAAAGCTGAAGAAGCACGAGAAGCGTTAATTCCACCTAAAAATAAATCCGTTTACCAAAGGAAATATAAAAAATACTTTCAGTGACTGGGGCAGAAAAATATAGTAGCAGAGGATGTCGATGAAACTGTCCTCTTGTAAATTTATTATACGTGACATTAATGATGTAAATAAATTATTAGTGTAGTTGGATGACTGTCCATTTTTGTTTTATATTATTACTGAAAATTTCTATTGTATTTCATGGTTGTTATACTCTGTTTTTTTTATAGGTAAGATTTCGACAGACGAGGTCAGAAGAAAAGCAGATGGCGTCCCATACCAAACTATTTATTTTACTAAAAAAAGTTTCCAATATTTTTTAAGTTAACTTATGGATGGATTTAAATAAAAATCCGTCATGCGTCGTCACTTGTTGTTTTTAACCAGTTTTATTGGTTTATTTCGAAAATGACAGATGATATTTCAATTTTATTGGTTTCACAAAACGATAAACGACAAACGGACGCCGATGCGTATGAACTCGCCTTTAGATTTTTGAGGCTTGTCAAAGTTTTACCAAATTATAGGTTATAATTTTGTGTCAACTTATGTTAAATATCTGCCTTTTGGTTTTGGAAGATAATGCATTTTGATTCGTGTTATTACGTGTGTTTTGTGTCATTTGAAGTCAAGTGGAGGAATTTGAAGTCATTTGAAGTCAAGTGGAGGAGTTTTATTGGTTTGACGGAACGATGAACGACAAACGGACGCCGATGCGTATGAACTGGCCTTTAAATTTTTGAGGCTAGTCAAAGTCTTAGGTTATAATTTTGTGTCTTATGTCAAATACCCTGCGTTTTGGAAGATGGTGCATTTTGATTCGTGTTATTACGTGTTTTGTGTCTTTTGAAGTCAAGTAGATGGAAAAATCGAGGGAAAGTGAACTGTAGGCTGTAGACCCAGAGCACAGTTTATGGTTAATACTTTAATACTCGGTGCCCAGGCAGAAAATTTTATACACCAATAAAGTTACCATCAATAAAGTTTGTATACCATCTCGTCGTAGATAAGTGCATCTCGTATATGGTACAAGGATCGCACTAAACATATCCTAAAAACTGGAGTAGCTGTAAAATATCAACATCACACGATAGGTAAATAATGGATTTTAGTACTGTAGAAAAATAATGTCAAAAGGTACTGGTTTAAAAAAATTAAGATTATTGTTAATCCACCTTTAAGGTACAAAATTTGGTAAGTGATTTTATTAATAAAATAGTTTGTTTATTTATGTTGTTTTATTTATTCCTGTGGAATATTACAAATTTGTATTTGTATATAAGTTATATTGATAAATACCGTATGATCGAATAAAAACGGCGTCCAGTTGGCTTGGAAATGACGATCGATGACATTTCCCATATAAATTTACATATAAAATGACAGCGACCTTCATTTCATAGCCATCGCTGACGCCGTTTTTATTCGATCATACGGTATAATAATAAATGCGGGAAGTTTCTTGAAACTTGAAAGTAAGAAATAGTTATTTTTAAATTTTTTTGGAACGTGATGTTTTGTTCCTGTTTGTTTTGTATTAACACATACCGTTTTTTAAATAAAATAACTCGATTACATTTTTTCAGTTTTATACAGTTTTTTACAATATTTTGAAGTAATCACTTATCAGTCAAATTTCAAATATATTAATTTCCTGCTATGCGTTCCAACTTATTTCTTTGTAAAATAAAATAAACTACTTTGAAAATAAAACGACAGACACATCTATCACTGTCAAGGATCTTGTCGTTGGACAGACTATGCCTATAAAACGTGGAGGGAATTATGGCATCTTAATTCCCATTAATAATGTCCTTTAATAATATGTAATGTGTTTATGGTTAGTGTAACCAAGACGATATAAGCTTATATTCATTCAAAACGAGAAATAAATTATACTTACATTGTTCAATTTTAGCTTGGTCTTCATTTTATCCGGTTTGTAGTGCCCGCTCAGCTGATACAGTACCGCCCTGGATCTTCTCCTTCCGTAGTTGGCTGGTGGTGCCTCTGGATCGTCCAGGTTCCCGTTGACCTTGTCCGAGAGGAGACAGGAATCGGCCGTACCGTGGAACCTGGCCCCCAGCACTGCGGCTGCGGACACCAAAGAATAACGAAAAACTATGACAGAGTGTGATATTGTTCCAAAACTAAGTTGATAAGAAAGTAAACGTTCACAACATTTATGGTTATAATGGGACGTACTGACTATTTTGACACTAAATTATAGAAATTAAACTTCATTGATTAGTGGAATAAATTAGTAGTTTTTTACCTTAACTTTAAAACACTCTGTGCAATAATTTCGTGTGTAAATTTTCCTAAAATATAATTTTACGTCAGAACCATGTCTTCTGAGCATTTTGTTTTTTAGCTCATGTCAATACATGTCTTGGTTAATCTTTAAGAGCGAAATTAACTTGCCACCAACAATTTTCAATTTTTTCAATTATCATTTCTTTTGGAAGTTATTTTTCAATATGATAAGGCGGCTTTGGTGATTATTGTGAACTATATACTACTATGAACTGCCCGTCATGTTTGGCGTTTGGGAGATGCTTGGCAGGAGGTTTGGAGAGACCCCAAAGCGGTACCAGCTTCATTAAATGAACTTCGCTTGGTTCTTAGAGAAGAATGGGACAGCATAACGCAATATGATACGAGCCCTAACAACTATATGTTGGGATAAGGTCATATTTTGGAATTATTGCCCTGGCTTTTCAAAATGACTGAAAAATATATGTTTCATTTTTTAAATATAAACATAGCCATATATCCTAAACAACTTGACAATATTTTTATGAGTTTGTAAATCAATCCATATTTACAGTGGCGGATTTTGTTCATAAAAGGACAAATTTGCTGACAACTAAATGTTGGGACAAGTATTTTTAAATAATTAATATCATTTTAGGCGGCTTTGCTATAAAGGTCACAAATGTCGCAAACTGTTTAGTTCAGCATTGACAACTTGTAAGTGACTCGATACTTTGAGTAGTGAGATTTACAGTAATTTCAATTTTTTTAATTTTCAATTTTGTTAATTATTTAATATTTAATTCAAAGTAATGGTCCGTGGGAAAGCTACAAATCAAAAACTAGGCGAAATTATCATTCTTCAATACAATACGGGAAAATCAATTCGAAAAATTTCTGATGATTTAAGTATTCCAAAAACCACGGTCATTAATATAATAAAATAAAAAATCGGCAAAAAAACTTTTAAGTTAAACGGTTTTATCTTATGTGCACTGAAAACTAGAAAATAATAATAACAATTAGGTATTTTGAACTTCTAGTTCAGAAATATTTTAGTACTAGGCAGAATAGCTTTTAGGCATGTTAGACTAAAATAAAAACGTGGGGCCCATTAACTATTGCTGTAATACTTTCTTCTATACTAAGTGTGGATTGCATCCACTTACTATAATCGTAACTGGAGATTTTGACAATCAATAACCAGCCGTGGCGGCTTCACCAGCGAACGCCGAGCTCATGATCTACAAAAGTATAAAGATATGCTTTGCCATAGGTAGGATTTCAGAGGGCCCCACGTTTTTATTTTAGTCTAATATACCTAAAAGCTATTCTGCCTAGTACTAAAATATTTCTGAACTAGAAGTTCAAAATACCTAATTGTTATTATTATTTTCTAGTTTTCAGTGCACATAAGATAAAACCGTTTAACTTAAAAGTTTTTTTTACCGATTTTTTATTTTCTGGTTTTTAGTATTTAACGCAAATGCCTACCGAATATTCCTCATTCTATTTAATTCATTTAGTGCATCATTATTACATGTTTTTTTTACCTGATAATTTATTACAATCTAATTCCTCAATACATAGCCCTTCCAGAGACTTGACTCGACTTAGAGCCACGTATGCTTGCCCTTCCTCAAACAATTTGGAGCCCAAATACACTACTGCATGGTCGACTGTGCTGCCCTGCATTTTATGGACGGTGGATGCCCATGACAAAATTAAGGGTAACATCCTTCTTTCAGCCGTACCATAATTGAATTTTGCTGGAAACTGTATGGCTTTCGGGTGTATAACGTGTATGCCGTCTCTGCCAAAGTCAATCCAAACTGATGGTACATCTGTTTCGTACATTTGGGTTCGACGGAACTGAGGCCAAACAATTTCTGTAATGTGGCCTATAGCACCATTTACCAATCCTTTTGTAACGTCAATGTTGGACCGCAACATTTTCACAAATTCATCACCTATTTTTTTTATCTGTCCTTCTAACGTCACACAATCTTGGACACAACTGTTCTGGACACGACTACTCATGCCCTCACCTAATACGCCATTTTGTAACGACGTCCATCTTGGATTTTAAATTTTGTCATAATCACAGTATTCTCCTAGTGTAGCCCCTACATTTGATACTCATATTGAGGGGGTTGTGGAAAAATATGAAATCCACCATTTTGTACCGGCGGCCATCTTAGATTTACAATGTTATTGATATTACTATATTGTATTGTCATCGGAACTAAAGGTGTGTACCAAATTTCAGATCAATCTGACAACAGGAAGGTACTTAAATTCCAATTTCTAATTTTGACCCAAACAAATAAATAAATACCGTACGGGTCGAGCTAAATAAAACGGTTAAAAAAATACGGCGAATCTGCCAATGTAGACGTTAGAGGTAAAAGTTCGTGAAGGCCAAGTTGTATCTCAGAGAGATTTACGAAATTTAGTAAAAATTTGCAAGTCTGCGAGAAGAAGTACTCTTCGCGAAGTAATAGTTAAACGAAATACTGTAACTGGTTTAAATATATCAAGAGAATGTTGCCGAAAATATATCTATAAATGCGGTCTGGGGTTTTACAGGGTAAACTTTATTTTGTGTGGATAATCAATTACTTGAAGATTATTGATACAAATTCTTATTTAGGCCAAAGAAAAACCGCTACTGACAGAAATTCAAAAGAAAAATCGCTGCAATTGGGCAAAATTTAAATTATCGTGGACACAAAATGATTGGAATAAGGTCATATTTAGCTATGAGTCTAAATTTGATGTTTGCGTTTTCGATCATCGAAAACGAATAATACGAAATAAAGCAGAAGCTTTTCATAAAGATTGCTTGAAGAGGGTTAAAAAGCAAAATGGAAAACACTAAATCACCACAATTCATCAAAACACTTTTACTTTTACACTGGACGCGCGTTTCGCTAACCATGTTAGCATCATCAGCAGATGATTATAAAACTAAAAAAAAAGTTGTATAATCATCTGCTGATGATGCTAACATGGTTAGCGAAACGCGCGTCCAGTGTAAAAGTAAAAGTGTTTTGTTGTATTGTGGTGATTTAGTGTTTTTATTTTGCTGTGTAACACCAAAGGTTCGAACCCTCAACTGTAATTGAAGAGGGTTGTTAAATTTCCTAAGGGGATTGTGGTTTGGCGTTGCATGTCAGCAAGAGGTTTGGGCAAATTAAATTTTATAAATGGCACTGTTAACGCCCAAAAATATCAACATATACTTGAGACTTCACTTTTGCCGAGTGCTCAAGAATTGTTTTCAAACGAAGACTATATTTTCCAACAAGATGGAGCATCGTGCCATTCAGCAAAATCAACTAAAAATTGGTTCGGTAATAATAATATAAAAGTTCTATCCCATCCTGCAAGTAGTCCGGACCTCAATGTTATAGAAACTGTGTGGCATAAAATGAAGCAATATTTAAAAAACCACCCTTAACGAACAATTTTTGATTTGCGGACAAAACTGCAGGAAATTAGGGATAATTTTTTCCTCAAAGTGCCAATCTTTGGTAAATACAGTGCCATTAAGAGTTCAGGCAGTTGTTAAGGCAAAAGGTGATGTAACTCCGTATTAAACAAATTTCTTGTTGTGCTGTCCCAATATATAGTTGTCAGCAAATTTGGCTTGATTTTGGCAAAATATGCTATTATCAAAAGTGATTTGTTTGCAAAGTTATAAAAATATAGTAAAATTGTCTAGATCCTATTGTAATGTTTGAATTTAGAATAATAAACAAAATAAATTGAGTCGTTTTAACAAATTACTATTTTTATTGCAAAAAAAGTCCTTGTCCGAACATATAGTTGTTAGGGCTCGTATAATGCAGCATCAGTGACAGTATGAACGGACGTATACAGGCAGTTATAGAAGCCAAGGGAGGCAATACAAAGTATTAAGGTATTTTTTACAATTTTTTCTTCTGTTTGTGTAGTTGAGTATTACAGATGTTTTCTTTAATATCGTTAGTTCTGTTATCATTATGAATGTTTATTAAGACCAGGACTGTATCATTAGTTTTTAATGTATTTTTTTTAAATTTAGTATAGAGTATGCCATCAAAACCATCTCGTCATATTAATAAATGACATCAAAAAGTAATAATAATAATTGAAAAAATTGCATTAAAAAATTAACCAAAGCATGTATTGACATGAATCAAAAAACAAAATGCTCAGGAGTCATGGTTCTGACCGTAAAATTATATTTTAGGAAAATTTTTACAAACGTGATTATTGCACAGGGTGTTTTAAACTTAGGGTAAAAAAAACAACCCCTCGATTAACACTGTATAATATACCAAATACTAAAGTTTATAAAAAACTTAATTTATGAATTAAAGTCGATATAATTATATACAGTTTGCTAAAAAAAATCATGAAAATAGGGCTAAAAATAACAAAAATATAACACTTTAAATTTTACCAAAAATTCCTCCGTTGCGTTTTTCGCATCTGGGTGTATATTAATTTTAAAATAAAGCGAAAATTCCTTTGAAACGTATGTCAAAGGTAAAATTGTAATTAACAATAAATTATTTACAGCGGTTAATTTGTTCAGAATTTCATAACTTGAAGTGCGTTATTCGAAATCCCCTGTTTTCGATTAACAACAGACATTCTAAGCTTTAATGTGGAAATTATCAGCATTGTTAAATATAATGAGTTCTAACCGTCAAATCCCAAATCGACAAGCACTGTTTCATGTTCTGTTTGTTAATTAGTTCTATTTTAATTAATGTAGAAACAAATTTCAAAACTTGTTTTTGTTGTATGTAATCTATAGGTATGTATGTTATACAGGGTTGTTCACA